CTCACTATGCAGTTCAGGCTGGTCTTGAGCTCACTTTGTAGCCTAGGCTGGTCTCAAACTTGCAATGATTCTCCTGCCTCAGCCTCCCAAGTGCTGGGATTACAGGCATGCGCCACCACACCTGGCTAAGATAGTTGTTCCTATTCATGCATTTATGTTCAAATATATGATTTTTTTAGCTGTAGTATTGACATTATTTCATAGTGTGTTATACTTCCTTTAAGGTTATATCTGAAGAACTAAACAGCAGCCTTTAGAGTATTATCTTCAGGTTTTCTTTATCCTTTCTTCCCTTTTTTTAAACTAAGTATACTCTTTCAGACTTCTGGTTTTATTTAATGAATCCCCCCTTTTTTTCCAGTGAACCGTTTAATACTGATTTGATTCAGTTCATTTTAGAAATTGTTTAGGAATTGTAGTATTCCAGGCATTGTATTAAAATTCTTAAAATCTGCTATATTTTTTGGAGAGAAGCTTTTAGAATAGAGGTAATTCAATCATATGGTTTCATGTAGTACATACCAGACAAAATATAGTGCCTAAATTTTAGAGATTTAGAATTCGGGGCTGGGGATGTAGCTCAGTGGTGCAGCACCTGCCTGGCAATTGCAAGGTCCTGAGTTCGATTTCCAGTACCATACCAAAAACAAAACAAAACAAAACATAACAAAACAAAACAACAAACATACTACCTTGGGGCACACCTATAATCCCCAGCACTCAGGAGGCTGAGGCAGGAGGACTGCTGTGAGTTAGAGGTCAGCCTGGATTACAAAATGAGTTGAAGGTCAGCCTGAATTGCAGAGTGAGACCCTGTCTCAAAAAAGACAAAAAAAAAAAAAAGACTTTGGAGTCTAATAAAAACTCAGGATTTAACCAACAAAGTAACCAAAATGACTATGAGCTTAGTGATGGCTCACGCCTGTAATACCAGCATTTAGGAGGCTGAGGCAGGATGATTGCCACAAATTCAAGCCCAGCCTGGACTACAAAGCATGACCTTGTCTCAAAAAAAAAAAAAAAACCTGGAAAAAAGGTAAGTATGAAATGTTTTAAGTTTGTGATTTTAGGCAATTTTCTCAGTATAGGGCACTTTCTTCATAGCTACTTTAAATCATTTTTATTGTTTGCCAGCTACACAAAACTTAATCATAAAGATAAATCTTTAAGATTTTATGAAAGAATCATAGAACTATAATATTCTTTGCTAACATTATTTCTTGAAAAACAAGGTTCCATGGTCAAGTAAATGTGGGAAACCATAAGTTTAAATAAATGGAAAAATTGAAGGAATATAGGATTGCTCAGAGCTCTTTGTTTTAAAATCCTTGTGATTTATCTTCAGGGGGAACATTTCCCTAGTACTTTTTTTTTTGTCTTTTTGAGACAGGGTCTCCCTATGCAGTTCAGGCTGGCCTTGAGCTGACTTTGTAGATCAGGCTGGTCTGGACTTGCAACGATCCTCCTGCCTCAACCTCCTGAGTGCTGGAAATTACAGGCTTGCACCACCACTCCCAGCTATTTTTCAAGTACTTTGACCTTAGAAATATTTTCCCAGAATATATGTATAAAGATTCTGAATGCTTCCTGGGAATCGATTTGGGAAAATAGATTATTAGCCTTTCTGTTTACAGAAACTTGAAGCCCTGGAAATTCATGTAATTGGCTTACAATATGTTGTTTTTCTGCCACTCTAATTTCTTTGTCATGTTCATGCTCAGATGTTACCATACTTCCTTGGTATGATAGATCTACATTTACAGAACTCCAAAGTAAGAGAAGAGTTACATTACTTTTATATTTAAATCACATACATTGAGATATATTTGACATAAAGTAAATTTCTTCTATTTAAGTGTTCAGTTCAGTGACTTCTGTCAATGTACATTTCTGTAACCACCAGCCAATAAAAATTATAGATTTCTATCACTTCCTCAATACCCTTCTTAAAACCTGTAATCTTTTTTTCTGTGCATGTATTTTGCCTTATTTAGAATGACATCTAAATTAAATCATACAGTGTGCAGCTCTTTTTGTCTATCAGATTTTACATGAACCATATTTTTTGAGATTTGTATGTCATTTCATCTTGCCTTATCCATATACTATTCTATTGTGTGAATGTACCATAATTTGTTTATTCTCTTATCAATTGATAGTTTGTTTCTAGATTGTACCTATTACTGTAAGCATTGATGTGCAGATCTTTTAATGAACATGTGTTTTTATCTTGGGGAGTGAGATATCTTGATAGTAGAATGATTAGACATATGGTAGGTACAGGCTTAACTTTGTAAGAAACTGACAGACTTTTGTGTGTGTGTGTGTGTGTGTGTGTGTGTGTGTGTGTTTGAGACAGGATCTTGCTATGCAGTTCAGGCTGGCCTTGAGCTCTCTTTGTAGCCCAGGCTGGTCTCGAACTTGCAAAGATTCTCTTGCCTCAGCCTCCAGAGTGCTGGGATTATAGGTGTGCACTACCATGCCTGGCTATAACAGAGTTTTCTGTGAAGCTCTATACATCAGTTATGTCTTAAAGATTATTCTTTTTGTATACAATCAAGAAATTCTTAACTAACACAGGATTACAAAGATTTTTCTCCCATATTTTTGTCTCACATTTTATAGTCCTATACTTATACTTTTTTATCCATTTTCAGTTAATTTTTGTGTTATCTTTGATCTATGTTGGGTTCATTTTTTACATGTGGATATCCAGTTGTTACAGTAGCATTTGTTGAGCATTTTTCATTTTTATCTTGGCTTTTTTGAGACAGGGTCTCACCATGTAGCCCAGGCTGGCCTTGAAATCGTGGCGATCCTGCTGCCTCAATCTCCTGAGTGCTCAGATTACAAGCATGTGCCACCACGCCTGGCTTCCGGTTCTTGATATTATTTTCATTTGTATTTTTAAAATTTTAATTTCCACTTGTTTGGTGCTAGTGAATAAAAAGAAACTGCATTTTTTGCACTTTATTTTATATACTGAATCTTGCTAAATTCACTTATTAGATTTAGTGACTTTTTTGAGGTTCTTTGAGCTTTTCTGTATGATCATGTTGTATACAAATAAAAATAGGTTAACTTTTCCCTTTGCAATTTTCTGTGCCTTATATATTTTCCTTGCATTACTAAACTGCTATTACCTCTACCTTGCATAGTATTTTATAGTAAATGGACATGTTTCCTTCCAATGTATTCAGAATTAAATCAGTAATTTGTTGAGACATACTTTAATTCATATAATGTAGAACAATGCTACCCAATAGATCTTCTCTTGCCAGTGGAAATAGTGGCTATTGTAACTTAGGAATTAAATAGTTTTCTTTAAATGTAAGTAATTAAAAATTAGATTTAAGTAATTTGACATTTAGTAACGATGTTTGTGCCACGGCTACTTTATTGGAGAGTGTAGACTGGAACAATATGGGAACTGGTCAATGACTATCTGAATGGGTACATAATTTGGTAATTGATGAGTGACTAATTTTATGAATTTAGATTTTAAATTTTCTATTTTTAGGAAGTTTTATAGCGACATCCGTCAAAAGCAATAGAAATCAGACCTTATTGTCTTTCTCTGTTCGCACTATGCCCCTATTCTTTGCATAGTTAGTGAACAATGTTATTTAGCAATTAAATGAAATAGAGGTGAAGTGGCATGAAAAAGGAACTTGGTAATTACTAGATTTTATTCCCTGTGCTAACTGCTATAACAGTTTAAATATAAGTGCGCTTTTTTTTTTGTCTTTTTGAGACCGGTTTTCACTGTGCAATTCAGGCTGATCTTCAACTCATTATGTAGCCCAGGATGGCCTCAAACTTGCAGCAATCCTCCCGCCTCAGCTTCCTGAGTGCTGGAATTGCAGGCATGTGCC